GTCAGCTCCTGGAAGGGTGACTTTGCTGCTCCCCTGGGTTTGGCTCGCCTGAGGATTGAGAGAAATAGACAGCATTTGCAAGTGATCCATCCATGCCAGTCCCAGCTTCAGCCTCCCTCCCTCCTTTGAAGAAAAGACTGGATTGCAGAGCAGCCAAAACCATGCTGGCCGCTCCCACCCCTAGGTCTTCCTGTCCCTGTGAGCCCAGCCCAGGGCCATTCACAGGGTTCCCGGGGCTGGGCCAGCCACCTGGGCTAAGAAGTGGGGAAAGTCAGGGGGCAAGCTCTGCGGAACCCCTGGGACAGGGCCCCTCTGAGCTCTTGTCTGCAGCTACCATCTGGGTCCCCTCATTCATTTCCACCCCAAGCCCGGCCTCGGCCCCCACTCACCTGAGGCCCTGGCTTTCCGGAGAAGGACAAACAGGACTGAGAACACCAGGCCCTTGTTCAGGACGAATCCGCAAGTCAGAACAATAGCCATCACCTGCAGCTCAGAAAGGGCCAGGGCAGGCGGCAGGCCTGGAAGGTCAAGCACAAGCGTTGGAGTCTTAGGTTTGACCCTCCTGAGCCCGGGAGGGTGGGTGTCTGCTGCATGTTCTGCTCCAAAGCTCAGCCTGCTCCCTGCCTCCTGGCCACCACAGCAGCCAAGCAGGTACTTTGAGGCTGGGCCTTACTTTCCCATAATTCTCTGTGCTGGCTCTCACCCTAAAGCAGCGGTTCTCAACCTGTGGGTCGCAACCCCTTTGGAGGTCCAACGACCCTTTCACAGGGGTCGCCTAAGACCATCCTGCATATCAGATATTTATATTATAATTCATAACAATAGCATAATTATAGTTATGAAGTAGCAACAAAAATAATTTTATGGTTGGGGGTCACCACAACATGAGGAACTGTATTTAAAGGGCCAGAAGGTTGAGAACCACTGCAAAGGGATCTACCTGGTCTCCAGCCCCTAATATCTCCCTTCTCCACAGCTCCTGCCCACAGCTCCTGCGTCAATCACTCTGCACTGAGCCCTCACTCTCCCACTCAAGGCGCCAGGGAAAGCCCTTCGTGCTCCCATTGCCTACAGAACAAAGTGCACAAGGCTGCAGGCGCCCAAGGCTCTCGCAGTCTGAATCCACCACCGGCCCTGCTTTAGCCTCACCATCTCCTCTCCACTCACCCAACTGTCTCCATGTGTCGCTGACCTCGGTGAATGCATGTCCCCACCTGCTCCTGGTGGCGGCCACCCCCCTTCTGCATGTTTTACTCCTCTGCTACCTTCACAGTTTCTCCTCCTCCGGGTAGTGCTCTCTACAGCCCTCCGGGCCCCATGGCCCAGCAGCTCTGTGCAGAGGATTTCTGACCATCCCCTACCTTTAACTCCATGGGAGATTGCTCAAATCCATTTGCCCCTGGGCCACGTTTTCTAGGTGATGCTCTGTCACCAGGGTTAGAAACACCTTTGTAATCATAGCTCCCCAACCCCAGCTCCTTTCCTCTGTTGCTGGTTGATGGGACTTGTGCTGCTTTGAGGCAGTAACATTCAAGGCTTGTGTGAGGGCTTCAGAAGAGAAATAGACCCGAACTTCCCCCCGCAGGCCTGCTCGCCCCCCAACGCCCCTCCCTGCCGACCTGCTCGCCCCCAACTGCCGCCGCCACCCCAACCGCTGGGCTCTGGTGTCACCTCCTCTGGGGAGTCCTGCAGGCAAGTCCATACTCCTGGCCTCACCAGCAATCTGGCCTCTTCCCTCCTAGGGGCCTCCATCCAACATGCCTCCATTATGCCACCCACCACCCTGCATCATAACCTTTTATTTATATCTCTCCGGGTTCCCATTTCCTTTCCAGGGCCTAGCCCCATGCCCGACATGCAGTGGGCAATGAGCCCAGGCTTGGGCAGAGAATAACGGAGCAACTGATGTGTGTGCCAGGCCCCCAGCTGACCGAACAGCTGGACAGGCTCGGTAGCCAGGCGGGGTCTTCGAAGGTACTGTTTAACCCTTGACCATCACGGGGAAATGTAGGGGGGCTTTGCACCGCTGAAGCTTTCAGGAGGCATATGGGGGAGAGGCCCAGGGTTAGGAGGAGCCTCAAGCTTCCCAAGCTGAGGCTGAAGATCACTCATGTATCAGAGGCGGGTGCAGGGTGGAACTCAGGCCCTCTGAGCCCACGGCCCCTGCAGCTCCCAGCCTCACCCCGAATCCCACACACATCTGCTCACTGTGTGTGTCCCCTGCGTGTCCGCATTCCCTGAGCCCTCACAGTCACCTGTGACCCGCCTCAAGCACAGCCCTTGGAGAGAAAGTGGGATTAGGATCAGGGGGAGGGGTGCCCGGAATGGACCCATAAGCCTGGCTCACTCAAGCCTGAGGCAGCTTGGTGATGAGTATGAGTCAGCGGGGAGCCCTGTGAGCAACAACAAGTGTTCGGAGAAGTGTGTGAGCTGGGGAAGGGAGAACCGAACTAAGATGGCAGTCTGAGTTCTGGCGCTGGTTCTGCCTTTAACCACGGGCGACCTAAGGAAGGGGCCCGGGGTTCAGCCACGGGGGCTGGGGGACCTGATTAGATCCTTTCCAGCATCAGCTTCCTGTGGGTCAGGGAACCTGAGAAGCACACACAGAGGAAAGGACTCACCCCGAGAGACCGCCAGACTGATGGTTCTGAGAATGTTGATCCTGGGAGATTCATAGAGTCCACACGAATACAAGCCCGAGTCTGTCTCTGCCAGCGCAGCCATGGTGACGGTGAAGTACCCCTGTTGGGGGTTATCCCTGATGACGTATCGTGGGTTTCCAGGCTCCTCGCCAAGCCTGGGATGGTTGACTAATAATGTACAAGTGCTTCCTTCTATTATTCTGCACCAGGTTTTCGTCTTTGAACTATTCTGGGGCGGGTAATCACACCTTACGAAGACTTCCTCCCCTTCCAGTTTCCGCAGCAGCTCTGGCTGCTGTTCCCAGGAGCCTGAGAATAAACCCTCAGGTCAGGGAGCCCCACTGGCTGCCACTGAGCTAAGAGGGGCCCCCTCCTCAGGAAGTCCTCTCTGCTCCACTCAGTGCCCCTCCCACCCCACCCCAGTCCCCCTGCTCACCGGCCTCCCGCTGCCTCGCCCCTCCTTCTCACACCCCTCAGGCCACCTCACTAGCATCCATCCCTCCTCTTATTCCCCTCGCCTCTGCCCTCACCTGAGGCCAGGAGCACCAGCAGGACAAGGGGCAGCAGGTGCGGGGCCTCCCAGGCCATGGCCCTCTGTCTGTGCTGGGTGGCAGCGGCCGCCCTGAGGAGAGGGCGCCAGAGCTGGCATGGTCAGCAGCCACCCAGCCTGTCTGGGAAGAAGAGCTGAGGAAGGCAAAGACTGCAGGTGGGGAGGGGTCAGGGAGGAGGAGAGGCCTGGGCCTACAGGGGACCCGCCCCTGCCTCGCTGCCTCTGGGCCTGGATGGGGGCTCTCTGGGCCAAGCCTGCCCCCTGCTCCCTCCCCTGGGGTGTGGGGAAATGGGTGAAAGCCTGGAGGAAACGATGGTGAAATAAGAAGCCATTTCTCCTCCCTCTTTCTCTCTGTCCCCGCCTCACCTTTCGCCTCGCCACCAAGAAAGCAGGGCTGAGGGGAGAGATGGAGGCAGGGGACCCTCTGGAGGCCCCATTGCTCAGAGGCCACCTGCCCAGGCTGCTGGGAATTGGGGTGTCCTGTGGGGACTGGAGGGGCAGGAGGAGGTGGGGAGTCATTTCCAGGGAAGGAGGTGCAGGGAAGGTCCCTGGCAAGGGTGGGAGAGCAAAGCAGACCTTGGGGGGTCAGGAGATGGGTGCGGAAGGAGGGGTGAAAGGGGGCCTCTGCCCTCTGTGTCCCCAGCTCCCAGCCGCCACTATCATCACTCCTTAAGCCTTTGCTGAAAGACCATACTAACCAAGCGCTTTTAGAAAATAATTTGTACTTTACATCCCTGTGACTAACAGGGCACCTCACCAATAATATTGCAGTCACTGGGTGTGGTGCCAGGGGGCACCGACATGCTGGGGGACCACTTTGTAAAGTATGTGACTGTCCCCCTCTATGCCGTACACCTGAAAGCAACACAAAACCACACGGAATGCAAACTGGAACTGAAAAATAAAAATTAAAATATTAAAGAAAAGAATCTGTCATTAGAGGAGCTACAGGAACACAATTGTCACGGCTGCTTATAGTCATTAGACAGACAACCAGGTCAGAGAGCCCTGCACATGTGCAGTGTGCCTGTGGGGCTGACAGGGGCAGTCTCCTGAGGCGGAGACTGGTATGGGGGCATGGCGGGTGTGAGGGGGACACAGTGCTGGGACCAGGCAAGAGCGGGAGCAGCCCTCGGCCACCAGGAAGCTCGGACCACCCTCTGAGGACAGGCTGCCCCTCAGGACCTTGGTTCCCTGCTTCCCATTCAGGGGGGTGGGCTGCCCTGGGAGAGGTCACCTGGGGAGGGCATTCCACCCTCCCTGCTCCCAGCACTGGGGCGAGTCCATCAGCCCTGCAGGAGGGGTGGGGTGGCTGAACCCCCACCGACTGCCAGACCCAGGGTGTGCAGCATTTGCAAGAGCTGGGAGCCTCTGGCTTGCCAGCCGGCCTCAGAGTGGAAGGTGGCAGGCCCGCCTGCCGGCTCCTCAGTTCAAATATCCGAAGGTGCCAGGGGTCCGGGGCTTCCTTGTCCATCCTTTCCCTGGCCACCAAAGGTCACCCCCGGCAGGGTACCCCATCTCAGCCCCTTGCTCAGGAAGCTCGGTTCTCACCGCCTGAGGCAGCTGCGGCCTTGGGCTGCCTGACACCCTGCCCTGCCTGCACCCCTGCCCTGGGTCTGCCGGGACCTGGTCCCCTGGAGCTCGAGGACAAAGGTGGGAGAGGCAGATGGGAATGAGATGCTGGGACTTGGGGGAGGATGTCCCAGAGGCCTGGAGCTCAAAGAGGCCACCAGGCCCCTGGCAGCCAAGGACCCAGGGCCGGGTGTGAACCTCCAAGTCTAGGAGCTGTGTCCTTCCTTGCCATGGGGTTGTGTGGGAGCAGGCTCTACAGATGGGTAGCGTGCATGGGTCGGCCTGGTCCAGGAGCCCCTGATCCTGGGTCCGGAAGCCGGTCCATCCTTGCTGCTTGACACAGTCGCTGCAGGGAAGAAACATCTGCACAGCATATGTTTCAAGGGACCTGGCATATATGGCATACTGTTCTTAATATGTTTGCTCCCCTTCTTAAAGCTTTGTGTTCTAACCAGGGTCACCTCTCCAAGAAAGGTTGTTTCCCCAGGTGGGGATTTTTCCCTGGAGTTAGGGATTAACAGGACTAAGGAAGGCAATAAATCAGTAAAACCCCTTAACTAAGAACCAGGCGAGTAGTTAATCACCTTAACTATGAACAATCACGCTTCAGTTACATAATCTTTACTTAGGATAATCTCCTTCAGTTACTTCCTTGTAGCTTAACAGAACAGTAGAGTAGTGACCTTGGAATGGAGATAACAAACGCCCTAACCTTTGGAATAGAATGGATAGGATTAAA